TTGACTATTTTTGTTCACTACAAGAAAATCTCAAGATCTCATCCAGAGAGAGTGACAGACAAGAACTTAGAAAGAAAAGCTCAGGAGCCTGGCAGGCCATTAGTGGTATCAGCACAAGACTTATTACCCACTCCCCGAAAAGGACCCACCTCTGAAGCAATTGGCTCGAAAGAGAAAATGCCATCAGCAACTGGCTCTTCACCATCAAAGACTAGTCATTTCTCATGGTCACCTGACTCTGGTGAGGCTTATCCACAAGAAAACCTATCTAAATTAGATGTTAGATCTCCAGATAGTTTAGCGGGGGAATTATATTTCTTGGATGAGACGATTACTTTGACTCCAGAGGAGTTATCTAGGGCACCAGCTGAGGTCTTAGGGAGGAGTAGTCATGGAACATCATATCGAGCTACTTTGGATAACGGGGTTTTCCTGACTGTGAAGTGGCTAAGAGAAGGAGTGGCAAAGCCGAAGAAGGAATTTGCGAAAGAGGCGAAGAAATTTGCGAATATTAGACATCCAAATGTTGTGGGGTTGAGAGGATATTATTGGGGCCCAACGCAGCATGAAAAGCTTATTTTGTCAGATTATATTTCTCCTGGAAGTTTGGCAAACTTTCTGTACGGTATGTGCTCATAGCTCTTGCTTGTGCTTTTTTAGAATTTTCTTTTTATTGCTTAATATCAGCTTTGAGTTGTGCATGTATATTATTGACTCCACTGTTTATCCTTTGATGAATGATTGACATTGGAATGAATCTAATTCAGATTGTCCCTTAAAAGAAACCTAAGAGGACTGGAAATTTCAGAGTAAAAATAGAATTAATTTGTAGTGAAAAGCTCATATAAACTTAAGTGGACTGTAGGCTGTCCATCAACTTTTCTATCCCGAGGATTTCCTTTGAGATGCGGGCTAATGTGTGATACATGTCAGGCTATCTTTTCCCAATCACACATCAATGTGCCTCAAAGCAAATCCTAGGAATAAAAAATTGGTGGACAGAGCCTCAGCCCACGTAAGTATTTCCCAAACACACATCAATGTGCCTCAAAGCAAATCCTAGGAATAAAAAATTGGTGGACAGAGCCTCAGCCCACGTAAGTGTGCAAGAAATTTGCTCTCAATTTGTATTTCTACCTCCGACATGAGTTGGGTTGGATGCCTCAGTCTTGATACCATGGAGTTTTTTTTTAATAAAATAAAAACTTGAAACATGGAGTTAATGGATTTTAGCTGTGAACATGTATTATCGATTCATACATAGTTGGCCTTATTCCTTTTGTTTCAGTTACGTTTATTATCTACTTTGGAAAAAGATGTTTTTTGTTTAAAACACAAGCATGCGCATACAAACATATATATGCAAACAAACAAATATATACAGGGAGAGGGAGGGAGGAAAACTGTGAATAGGAGATTATCATAGTTCTCTTTTGTTAAAAGTTGGCTCCTTATTGTCTTTATGTTTTCTTGATCAGCGTCTCCTTGATGCATGTGCTGTGCTTTTCATGTTGGAATCAATATCTAGGAGGAAGGAACCAATATGTTGATGCTTTTAGTTATGTTTTTGTCATATTTCCATGTGAAAATTTTTAGAACATCTTCATTGAGATATCCGTTTTAAACCATTTATTCATCAGATCGACCTGGACGAAGAGGCCCACCTCTAACCTGGGCCCAGCGACTCAAAATCGCTGTTGATGTTGCCCGCGGCCTCAACTACCTCCACTTTGACCGTGCAGTTCCCCACGGCAACCTCAAGTCCACTAACATCCTCCTCGACGGCCTCGACCTCAATGCCCGCGTCTCTGACTACTGCCTCCATCGACTCATGACCCAGTCTGGCACCACCGAGCAAATCCTTGACTCTGGAGTCCTCGGCTACCGAGCCCCTGAACTAACTTCCTCGAAAAAACCATCTCCTTCCTTCAAATCTGACGCATACGCGTTTGGGGTCGTGATGCTCGAGCTCCTAACAGGGAAATGTGCGGGCGATGTGATTTCTGGGGACGAAGGTGGGGTTGATCTTTGCGATTGGGTGAGGTTGAGAGTGGCCGAAGGGAGAGGATCAGATTGTTTTGATGGTGAATTGGGTGGTGAGATTGCTGGGAATCTGGCGGCGGGGAAGGGGATGAAGGAGATGTTGGGCATTGCTTTGAGATGTATCAGGCCTGTTTCTGAGAGGCCAGGGATTAGGTCTGTGTATGAAGATCTTTCTTCTATATGAAAGCTTGTGAGGTCTGTATGTGACTAGATGTTAGTTTTGCTTTGGTGTTTTTTGTTTTTGTGGGCGAATGGATTGTGGAGATACTGGGAATCACTTGTAATCTAGTTTTTGAGCGCATCTCATGCCTGCTTATGTTTTTTTCTCCTGGTGAGATGAGTTGCCATTTAAACCTGGTACATGAAGCTCCGAGGTTTTTAGATTGGATTACAAAAGCTTCGTTCAAAAAGATATCTAACTGTAACACGCTCACAGGTGCTTGGCATGTGCCTATGCATGTGTGAACTTTTTCTTTCTTATTAGAATGAGGGACCGGCTCTTTGCCTTTCTTGTTATATTATAAAGGTTTTTTCTTTCTTCCTGTAACCATCTTTAAAAATAGAATTATTTTATAGAAATTATATTTAATTGTCAATTTATATGTAAATTATCTTTAAAGGGTTTTAGTTGCAACCGTGCATCTTGATCCACTTTTTAGTTAAATAAAAAGTGCTAATTGAATCCACCTAACCTCTATCAAGGATCATCCCTCTAATGTACTTGGTATTTGATGACTAATCATCATAGCAAAACTGAAAAAAAAAACAAATTGAAAAGTGAGTCTAGACGGTTAATTGCAACAAAAATACCATTTAAATGTGTTTTACATATATATTGACAAACGAAAATGGTTTATGCAGAATGATCTCATTTAAAAATGTTTTTTTATATAAAAACAAAGATTACACCAACTACATGATGCATTGAGAAATAACATTCTTTCTAATGTGAGGAAGATCCAAGTCTGAATTGACAGACAATACCAAGGTTGCAATTTCTAGCTCCATATGTTGCCAACCTGTCAATTATAACCTTAGCTTCCAATAAATGTGTTGGATAACAAAGGTCATGACAGATAATAAATTCATAACCTCCTTCAATAGGGAAGGATATTGCCATTGAGGGGTAGAGGAATCTATGATCAGATTAATCAAAACAAATCCACTTCAATTTTAACTTGAGAAATACCTCTATCTCGTCCCAGAACTAAACCTTCCTTTAGATCCTTTAGCTCAGCCCAAAAAGATTGAACCATCGCCAAACTTTATCTGATCTTGCAACCGCTAGATTCCCTTCTCTATCTCGAATCACCGCAAGTAGAGATTCTGCAGCGCGACGCCATCCCTGTGGAGCTTTTTCCAATTAACAAGCACTTTTTTTTTGTTATAAAAATCCTGTTATCCAAGACATTTAACATAGCCAGATCTATTCTGAGTTCTCAAGCCAGGGGCTTTAGAGATGAATATTTACGTAACAATTTCAGATACATCAGAGCGAGAAAGTAGGAGGAAATAGTTCCCAAAGATCTCGCCTTACATAACAAAAAAATGAATTGTCACCTGACACACGCTATAAAATTCTAATGCTTAACGTTAACACCACTGAAACAACAAATCCTGTAACCAAAGGCATGTGTTCTGCTATTGTACATTTTGACGAAATGTAATTTCACAGTTTTAAGTGTGCTCTCAAAACCCTCCACACAGAATACAATTGTGCATATGTGATTCCCCCTGGATCCACCAATACGACCTTGCGATCTATAGGAAAAGTACGCTGATGATGTGGACCTCTAACTCTGCTCATCAATTGCCCTCCTTTCAAATTATTGCACAGTTTCATGTCACCTCCTCACGTTTCGCGACTTCGTATTTGTCAGTGCCTCAATAATTCTGTACATCCACCTATCGAGCATTCCTATTGGAGATAAACGGGTATTTAATGTTAGAAATTAGGTTCAGAACTACATAATAACAGAAAACGTATCATTGTCCACAGGACTATGCATATATCAGAAATGATTTTTCTTACCATAGTACTGAAACAGGTTCAGCAACAACTATAATGTTAGACTAGCTTAATTTTCTTCAAACTTTCAAATTTTTTAATAATCGATTCATTACTGACAAGCATCTAGGATGTTTATATAGTCAAATATAATAAAATAAAAAACGGGCAGAATATGCAGAACATTGTAAAGGGAATCTATGGACTGGTCTTGAAACTATTGCTACGTAGAACATTATTCAATTCTACATAATTCAAAAGCTCGTTTACATCACAAACAGATAAACGTACAGGAAAAGAAATTGGAAACAGCAATTGCATTAGACATACACACATATTTCTTTCAAAATGATTTATTGACCTCTTGACACGCTCATCTGGCTCGATGTCAACAATGAGGGTCTGCACTATTTCATATCCATAAGCAGACAAAGACTTCTTGAGCTCCTCTTTGACAGCTTTAGCAATATCATTCTCCTGTGCCAATGTATCATCCAGGTTCAGCTTTGGAACGCTTGCTCTGATCACTGAAGTTACAAGCAAGCAATCTCAGTTCTTACAAAAAATAGCATCATTGGAATTCTATGATTAAGTTGAAGTAGAAAATGAAATCCGTACCATCAAACACATAGGCTTGAATCTGAGCCCTTGTGTTGCTCAGCTTATAGTATGCATCATTTGCCTTAAAAAAAACAGAGAATTCAAGAGAGAGAGAGATGATTAAAAAGCAGAGAATTCAATTATTATTTAGAAGTTAAAGTATCACCATGCCCGCCTTCATTTCACGCTTAAGTTCACTAAGCTCCCTGAACTTTGCACAATAATTTGCCAAGAACAAACTCCAAGTCTATTATAGATTTACTCATTTAAACTTGAACCGCCTAACATTTAATGATCGAGGACTCTATTTCCATTTCCATGGACTTCCATGATCTACTGGGACCAACATTTAATGATCCACTGTCCACATAACCTGTGATGTTTTAAAAAAACAATAATAAACAACTAGCTATTACAGGAAAATTACCCGGAGATTATAAGAGACGTCGTGATAGTTTACCTTAATGTAGTATTTGAATGTTCCACTCGCATCTTGCAGGATCCGTGTAGTTCCATCAAGTGGATTATGAATCCCTGGGTACTTTGGGCCAAATGACAAATCATGAATGACATGACTTACATTCACATTTGATGCACCTCCAAAAATCTGTGCATAAAACATAAAACAGCTAAGATAAAAGTCAGAAAATTTTCTTTTCAAATGTAAACCATCTAACGTATTTAGAAAGTCACATCTCTATAAGTATACTGTCTCAATGAATAGATTTTGAGAATTATTAATATACAGAACCGTGAGGCTGTTATGCCACTGAGATATCTTTAAGTAGAGTCCCCCCACCCCAAACACACACCCACACCCACGCGCACATACACCCACAGAAAGAAACGGAAAGAAAAGACAGCACAGACAACCACAACACAACACACACACACACACATCAAAAGATGAGGGATGGAAGGAAAGTTCTTCGAACTGGTAGGACATGATAGTTCTGCAAGAAATCTTGTACCAGTTTTGCTACCAGCATTATAATTATTCACTTATTTTCATGCCGCATTTAGATCATACATATTGCAAATATAGTAGTCAAAAGAGACCACCAGACAGAATCAGTACAATCATATTAAGCATGATTTATAAAATAAATGTGAGAATATTTTCTAAAAAATTGTTAACAAAACGTTTCTGACTCGAGAAAAGTGAAAAGAAAAAGAAAAAGAAAAATTGGTTGTTCTTGATTTAAGAAAATAATAATTTTTTCTTACTTGATCTCCACTTTCTTCCCACATAATCTATACTACATATAAAAGAGGATTGCCTTGTCAAAAGTTTTGATTTCCATTTTTGCGTTTTAAGTTTTATAATTCTCAAATATGTCATTAGTCGTAATTAATCATTCACTAATTATATATAACCTCTTACTAATTATACATTTCCTCACTTTTTCTAAATATTTGGTCACACTATTATTTTATGATTTAATAGAAAATTTGAAATTTATCCCTAGTTTATCTTCATATAATATTTAAAATTCTAGATAAATTAAAAATAATAAAAATTCATTAGGCTTATGCATGATGTCCTTGGATTTCACCTCTTATGGAGGACTACTTGTTACCTTTCATCTTATTAGCCTTTTAAAAGTATGATAATAGTATGGAAAATAATATGTATTTATTGCAATTGTAATAATATTAATAGTATAAAGATTCTAACAGTAGTTTTTAAATTAATAGATTACATTGTAATTTAATAATTATACAATTTAATTAATTATTAATTAATAGTGTAATAAACTAATTATGAAATTAAAATGTAGTTACTAACAGTATTATAATTATGCTATGTATAATATTATTATACTTAAAAGAGACGAAATTATTTAATATATTATAATTATTTTAATAAATTATGATATATTATGAATAAATTACAACAATTATCCGAACTATAATAATTAATCACACAGTTCTTTATACACAAATTTATCGTATAATTTATTCATTTAAACAAAATTGTAGTTGTTTAGAATTTATATTGCTATACAAGTCATTTCATTATTTTGCAGCCAACAAAAAAAATTTGAAAAACACAAAACAAAATAGATATGCTCTCGTGCAAAGCACGTGCACTATACTAGTAAAAAAGAAAAAGAAAATGGAAGGACCCTAAATCAAACAAGTGTATAAATGCAAATTCCATGCTCAAGTTAAAGTAGTTTCAATCTATTCATCTGAATCTAAAGAAAATTGATAAGAATCTAATAATATATGTGGATCATACCGATAATTCTACCAGATTTACTTCAATGGTTTTTACTTGAACATCCCCACAGACTTTACCTTGAAGCTATGAAATGTGGTGTCCAGTAGTTTCATGTTGCTACACATTGGAGAATTTGCTAACTAAACCTGGAGTAGAGCAGGGATCTCGAGGTCCTATTCCTTGTAGGTTATCAAAACTTTAGCACTTTTCTACTACTGAATGTCACTGCGCTTTGTGTGCATTTGTTATATTAAAAGCAATGGTTTTCCAGACGTACATCATCAGCTTAATTCACCACTAACTAGACACTTATTGAATGCCAACTAGTAGTATAAACGGAGTACAGAGAAGATGTTGGTATTATCTTATGCGTAGTTATTTTCTTCTAGTGAATAAAAGAAGAACAAAATTTAGATGGGATCCATAAACTAAATGTATATTATTGAGCACGGGCGAAATTAAAGGAAAAATGTAGTAGCTTACATGTATACTCCAATAAGAAAGACATTCGGTTAAATTACGTAAGATAAATAGACTTAATCTACATGAGATTGCACATACTCTTGCATACCAAATAGTTTAACACGATCTATATCTGTAGTCATATTCTAAATGGAGTGGATAAGGATACCTACAAATTAGGGATATGGAGTACGTTTCGGATCAAATTATTTGTATTTGTTTACATTCCTAACATAGAAATAATATAAAATTAGTGTGATCGCAACATCCTTCTATTTCTTACCGTCCTTTTTCTTAAGACTCGGAAATATTCTAAACTTCTTCACATAAAGCTTATACCACATATTACCACATATTATACCACATAAAAAATAAGATAATTTTTCTACTGACAAATGGCGTACTGGGCTTTTGAAAACCACATATTATACCACATAAAAAATAAGATAATTTTTCTACTGACAAATGGCGTACTGGGCTTTTGAAAAGACTCACTTGCCTAGTTCCACTGACACAATAATTTTTCTACTGACAAATGGCGTACTGGGCTTTTGAAAAGACTCACTTGCCTAGTTCCACTGACACAAAACATTGCAGGTCTTCATTTTCTAGCAATTGTAATTTTTTTACACTGAGCCCTCTCAATCTAAGGTTCCCTAACCAACCTCATTTTGATGGGAAAGGACAATGATTTTTTTATGATGGCAACAACGATGATTATTTTGAGCACATTGTCAGACTGTGCAATTGTTTTTCTTGCCAAAATTTGGCAAGTTTTGATATTCAGGGCTACAATGACTGTCCTATACTCCTATTAATAAAAGAGGCCCTCTATCAGTCTTCAGATGGTTCTTGTAGGTATGATACGACACCTATGTAGGACTGGAACCGGAAGGTGTTCCAAAGGCATTTACTTCACAGATCCAGGGGAAAAGATAGATACAAATTCAAAATGGAACCGGAAGGTGTTCCAAAGGCATTTACTTCACAGATCCAGGGGAAAAGATAGATACAAATTCAAAAGTAATAGAGCGTCAGTGATGCAAACATTTACTTCACAGATCCAGGGGAAAAGATAGATACAAATTCAAAAGTAATAGAGCGTCAGTGATGCAAACTGTTGCGCATCAAAAATGTTTAGCCCATGTACAGAGATATGGAAGTTCCCAGCAACCCTCTGAACATCTAATACCCCATAAACCTGTATAAAAATAAACTTCGTGATTACTTTCTATAAGGGAAGGATAATAAAAACCTCTCATCGTCAATAAAAAATCTTTATACTAATAACTATACGAAAGATGTACCCGGCATCCTTCACCATTCTCCATTGCATGTTTCACAGTCTTGATCATTTCCTCAGCATCAGCATCAAACTTATGTTCATGCTTCTTTTTGGATGAATCAATGTGATGGTCTTTATGATCATCTGTTCACAGAACTACATGCTAAAGATTCACAGAACTCTGACTTAAACATACATTTCAGTAAACTACTCATAGACAAATAAACGTGAGAATCAGATATGATACAAGCACAAATTGATACACCAGAAGAACTAAAAGCGACACACTGAGGAACAGGGAACTTATAACTTCGTCTAATGACTCAGCAAGTGCCTAAACCAACGGCAGTTAACATTCTTATGTGTCTGTACAGCCTATGAATAATTTATTGTGTTAAAATTTGCCAAGATAACTACTGTTAACACAAAGATACTTATGTGTTTGTACAGCTTTTCCCTATTTGTTTAAGAAAATTCTACACTTTAGCATTAGGATCAGGCAACTAAATTTACTTACGAAGTACTTTGTTGGAGCATTTGCTACTCAGGTGAGGATAAGGTCAGTGTAAAACTTGTAGCACGATGCTAAACACGTGGATTTGTGGAGCAGATAACAGATCACCCCTCTCTCTGTGACTCCATGGCCAGGTAGATAGAGCAAAACTTCTAGTTAGCATTCCCATCGGGCAATTTGGAACTTTTAGGATAGAAGTGAAGAATTTATTACTCATGATCATGATGAGGTAACGAGATGGATATGGCAGGAAAATTTTTTTAAACACTTTTAGCATTAGGGTCAGGTCAATTTGAATTTGTCAAGTAATTTTTAGGATAAAGGTAAAGAGTTGGCTATTCAGGATGAAAGAAAGACTATGTCTCATGAGTACACATCAAAGGCTCCTGTACTCACCCTGACACATACAAGACACTTGCTACGGTAGACATGTATCTGATGCATCCAACATCTGTGCAGCCTTCTATCAGCTTGAAATTAGTTGGATTCGGGATGGTAATTTTTAGTTCCATCATCCATGCTTTATATTATTAGAATCAGCTTGAAATTAGTTGGATTCGGGATGGTAATTTTTAGTTCCATCATCCATGCTTTATATTATTAGAGATCTAGAATTTATATAGATTGCACGGATGGTAATTTTTAGTTCCATCATCCATGCTTTATATTATTAGAGATCTAGAATTTATATAGATTGCACTCATAGGGATGGATGCTGTTTAGTTCTTATGTCCATGTTGGCATGTTCATGATGTATCATTACTGATAGCCTATGTTTTTCAAGATTTCACATATTTAAGTACGGTACCCAAATATCTCCACATCTGTGTCCTGCATCTGCACATCCGTGCAACACAAGAGAAAGGTTAGTGCCAAAGTTGTAACACTATCCAAATTACATAAGTGGAGAAGATAAATCTGACCATGTGAATATTGTAATTCGTGTTATGATATCTGTTGAACTAACAAAATATATGAGGATAAATATGAAATACTTTATGGCGAGGGTCTTGAGACAAAAAGTAATCTACAATTCAATCTGGCAAAGACTGGGAAGTGCGCTAGTAGGCAAAATTTGATAACGCTTTCAGAGCAACATTACTTGAGGTTTCTACTATGACCAAAGCAAAAAAGAAAGTGAATAAGAGAATTGCCCATGCCCTAAATTTATTACAACATTTACAAAGACTGCATAATGAATTGAAAAGTATTGAGAGAAATCTTTTGACTTTATCCTATGTTTTTGTTGCATCAGTGAAGCAGCGAAATGAATTGAACACTCATGAACATGATGCTTAAGCTAAGTTAGAATTAATCCAACCACATCAAATAAGTAGATCTGTCAAAATAAGGGGGAAAAAAGAAAAAGAAGAACATTAAAAAAACACAAAGTCAATTAAAGTTTGCTGCTGAAACGGGACAAAGAATCTACAGTCAATCTGGGTTGTATAATTATACATCGAAACTTCTTAAATTAATAGCATTATTTAAGTCAAATTCCCAATATGCTGATGCACACCAAACATTTCTTGATTATAAATCATTAAGTCCTCTAAATAATTTCTCCATAGCACTACGAGCTAATTCGGAGTCCTCAACAAGTCATTATAAAGAGATATTCTTACAAGTAAACGCCTATAGTGTATTCCTTCGTTATCAACTTCATTAGCGTAAAATTATGAATTCCCAAACAAAATGAACAGCCTAAATTCCAAAATTCCGACGAAATTAGGGCTCGAGAGAAAACTCATCTTACCCCAAAGAAGAATCGACAAACCCTAAGCCCCAATTCGTTTCCAATCCGAACTAGAAACAATTAGGACAAATTTGATCAAAAAATTAGAAAGAAATGGGAAAATTTCGTCCCGGTTTAGATCGCGTTATTATGGGGGTGTTTGGTTGCAACATTTTTGAGAAATCTTTTCTCAAAAGTACCGACACATGACATTTGTGTAATTAAACATTTTCTATAGATTTTCGTAAACTATGTTTGATTTAAAAAAAATTACAGAAATATTTTCTGTAAAGTACAGAAAATTACTAAATTTTATAAAAATCAATTTCCTTCTATAAAGTTTTCATTTTTTTATAAAGTTCTCACTTTTCTATAAGGGGTTGTTTGGTTGTATGTTTTTACCATGTAAAATGATGGAAAGTGTAAAAAAGTGGATCTCAATGTCAGCTTTCATCACTTTCAATTGTTTGTTTGTAGTTGTGAAAATAGTGTAAAGTGATTTCATATGCTGATGTGGTTTGTAAAGTGATTTCATAAAAAAAGACATGATTTTATGAGAAAACTGACATTAAAGTTAGAAAAAAATAATAAAAAATAATTCCAACCAATATAATCATTTGAGTAGGGATCACTTTTTACACTTTCCAAACAAACAATTAAAGTTATATTTGCAAACCAAACAAGCAATTTATGATTCCAATGGAATAAAAAACAAACAAAGAAAATTATACAAGTGAAATTGATGAGGTGGACAACAACTTTCCAAGTTGTGTCATAAATACACAATTTTACCAACAACAACCAAACATCCCCTAAAGAACGGGGGTGTTTGGTTACATTTTTATAAATTGTAGGAAATGTTGCTATTTTCCCAAAAGTTATGAGCCATTTTCTTGTTTTGAACCAAACAATCAAAATACAAAAAACAAAAAAAATTTGTACTTTTTAACTTCTCAAAACTTTTCCAATATTTTTTTTAAGAAATACAAGGAAATCATATATTGGGTGGAAAACATTTCCTATAATTTATAGAAATGTAACCAAACACCCCCATAGAGGACGACCGGCGAGAGAAACCGAAGGGGAATCTCTGTTTATTTCTATGACTGCGGTACAGTAGACCGCGGGATCAACGGACTCAACCGACGCATGTGATACTAATTTTGACATGTCAATATCTACCGTTTGGCACAAAATCATCATGTTGTTTTTTACTAGATTCTTCTAAATTTGAGTATAAAAATCAGATTTGGTAGTTTTTTTTGTATCAAAATAAAATAAATCATCGGGTTAGCGGATTGTCCACCGAATCCGACTCATTGCTACTTGTACTTTGGAATGTCTAGTTTACAATCTAGCCCTAAAAAAGCTGTCTTTTGTGAGTCTTTACCTTCATCCGTCTCCATTTCCATCATTTCTTCCGCAGGTAAAAATTTCAATATATTTTTCTGATATGTTTTGTGTTTTCCTTGCTATTATTGCTGAGATTTTATCATCATTGAGCATTTCTGAGGCAGTGAATGCTTTAAACCCATGATCAACAAGAAAAAACCATAAATTTATTGTTATAATTAATTCGGTCTCAACATTTTTGTGATATAATTCTCAAATATTTGGCTATTGCTACAACAAATTCTTTAAATGACGATCAATTTAAGGTGGATTCCATACTATTTTTTTGAATATATTTATAAAAAATCTTGAAGTATGCATATTGGAGTTTATTATAATTTATATCATGATGAGATTCTACAAATTTCCTTTTGCTGAATCTAGCTTTGAAAATGCTTAAAGGAAAATTTTTCTCATTTTGCAGCGAGACTCTAAGGCCTCGTTTGGTAGGCGGGAATGGAGTGGAATGGAATGGCATTCTCACTTCCCATTCCTTCATATCAAACAAATTAACTTTTTAGATGTTGGAATGACCATTCCCAGGGAATGACCATTCTCACTTTTTGTGGGAATGGGCATTCCAAGTGAGAAGATAGGGAATGGTCATTCCCATTTAAGAGAGAATCAAATCAGTTATTTATTTTTTAATTATACCCCTATTAATAATAAAAAATAAACCAAAAAATAATGGCTCTTTGACTAAGTATTAGGGAATGTAAATCAGCTTTTCCTTCTTTTTAGCCTGCACCAAAATAAACGCCTCCTATCTTTCTATTCTGAAATCGCCGTGCCGTCACCTCTCCTTCCTTACTTCAATCCCAACCCCAACCCCTCCTCCCCCACCTCTTACTCTGCCGCCTCAACCGCCTCTCGAACCCAGAGCCTCCGACGACGCCTCCACCTCGGCATCGCCTCTTCCACTGAAGTCACCGCCACGCCTGGCATCGCCTTTCTCTTCAACGACCGAGCCAAATAGAACATACACTTGAGAGATAACATGCGCATTAGTATAACATGCACAGAAATTCCCACATACAATCCATTCCATTACTTCTTCCATTCCATTCTCACTTATGTCCATTCTCGCGTACCAAACGAGGCGTAAGTTCTAACCCTCCTCATTTCTGAAAATGGAAGCAATAATTTGTGTATCTAATGTGATCTACTACTCTACCGTGTTTGGCTATGATTTGTTTTCTTTTAAGCAAATTCAAGTCATTAGGCTTTAGTATTTGAAATTCAAGTTACGAGGCTTTAGTATTTGTCAACATAATCAGCTTTGTGGCATATCATTGCATATATAAGAAGTCTTTAAGGGGCTGTTTGGTTCCCTGTTTTTGAGGGAAAGACTCTCTTAAAAGTCTGCCAAAAGTACTAAAATTATCACTTTTTGGCAGGCTTTCAGCCAAAATCGCCTCTAAAAAAGAAGATTTTGGCTGAAAGCCTGCCAAAAAGTGTCACTTTTGACAGGTTTTCAAGAGAGCATTTCCCTTAAAAACAGGGAACCAAACAGCCCCCAAGGGCCCGTTTGGAGAATGGAAGTATTAGAAGTAAGAAGTAGGTTATAGAAGTAACTTTCAAAGCTATGAAGTAGGAAGTAGTGGAAATAGCATTTTTTTGTTTGTTTCATATATTTTTAGAAGTAATGGAAGTAGAACTTCTTCCTCTTCATTTACTTTTTTGTTTGGATAACATTTGGAAATATTATTAGGAAGTAATTTTATCAACGAAATGTTGTTAGAAGTAACTAATAAAGGAAATATTAATAAAAAATTATTTATGTCATAATTAATATGCATTTCAACTACTTTCGAGCTACTTCTGAGTATTGAGGATTGGAAAAATATTTTGGAAGTAAGGATGACACGTAGGCGCCACATAAGCATTTAGGGAAGTATTGGAAGTAAGTTTTTCAGAGAACCAAACATATTTTTTTGTTTAGAAGTAGCAGAAGTAGCATCTACTTCTTTTACTTCAGCTACTTCACAATTACTTTCGTGCAAACAAACAGACCCTAAGTGTAATTTTGTTAGTGTTATAAAAAGCAGCCTAAGCGCCTAGCCTGTCTAGTGTCTAGCCTTTTGAAAAAAAAATGGACCCAAACCCGTACCCGTTACCCGCACCCGACCCATAACTCGCCTAAACAGTTAAACCCTATCTCTCTCACTGTAACTCTCCGCACGCACCGATAGCCGCCTCCCTCTCTCTCTCTCGCTCGACTCGGACTCTCTTGTCATTCGACAGCGCCCCCCCTACCCCCGCGTCTCCTTCACCAGTCCATATCTCTTCGGTCCACTGCCCTCTCCCGCCGCCTCTCCTTCTCTCTCTCTCTAACTCACTCTCCCGCAGGCGCAGCCCCGCCTCTCCCTATCTCTTTCTCGACGTTCTCTCCCTCCCCCGCTGTACCTCTCTCGTCGCCGCCGCTCCCGCAAGTCCTCAACCACGTCCCCCCTCTCCTGCAGTCCCCATTCAGGTAAATTTTTTAATTTTTTTTAAGTTTATGAACTGTTTTTTAAACTTATTTACTGTTTTAATTAGTTAGTTATTTAGTTTAATTAATTTGTCTAATTAAGCTAGTTTTAGTTTAATCTTGTTTGATTTTCGTTAATTTTAGTTTAATATTGTTTGATTTTAGTTAATTTTAGTTTAATCCTGTTCAATTTTAGTTCATATTTATTCACTATTTAATTTAGTCAATTTTAGTTAAATCTATTTAATTAGTTGACAAGCACTAAAGCCTCATGACCTGAATTTGCTTAGGGGGTGTTTGTTTCAAATCCTATAATTTTAGGATATGGATTTCACCATGGGATTTGAAATCCATATGTTTTTTAACATGGGTTGGGATTTCTAAAACTTTGTTTGTTTCATCGATACTTTGGGATTTGGAATACTATAGTTTGTAATATTTTGTTTGTTTCAAACTCAAATTGTAGCATTGCAAATTTTAGAATTTGAAATCCATAGTTGTAGCAAACAAGTTTTAAGATTACCAAAATAATAATTGGTGAATATAAGAACCTTTGGTGAGCTTACCTCCAACAAAAAAAACAAATACAATTCTATTCAATTGGGATAAGCTTAACCTTGGAACGAGAAAGAGATTATGCAGAAGTCAAGCACAGACATAAAGACTTCTGTTTCATAGATCAGCCTCAGATCAGAACTTATCACAACGGTTGCAAAGATTGATATATTTACATTACAATTTGCAAAGAAAATTAGAATCTATAGTTAAAAAGTGGATTATAAACAGATCCGATCAAACAAAATAAACATCAAAGATGAATTTCTGAGTGACACACTCTATTCTCGATAAAATTCTAACGAAAAATAAACTCCCGAAATTGCAAAAGCTTGATAACAAAATCACATGAAACAAAGAACGTCCAGATAAATAAAAGATAAAAAAAGGAACGATATAAATCTGGAAGTTCGACTTTGGTAGATAGACCCCATGGGGTGGTCTCCCCCCCCCTTGAAAATTTGGCAGATTTATCTAGGAGAAATTAGTGAGTCTATTTGAGGGTAAAAGAGTCAAAGATCCATCCAGGAGATTTATCTGCCAAAATCAGACTACACGAATAACAAGTTTCCAAAATTTGATTCTTTTACGGGATCTACGTGCAATTAAGCCTTTCGATATGGCTAGTTATATACATAATATTTTATAAAATTTATGGCATGAAGCATCCAGGACTGCTGAGCTTAGCTTCCCCCCACCCCACCCCACCCCCCATTGTAAGTCTTGAATGTTGCAATGAGTTGGATGTTTCACAATCTTCTTTGGGCACTTATTTAAGTGGTGTTATGACACGTCATGTCATACTTAAACATATAGTGGTGGCCAAGAGACATAAAGTCTGCATCTTAGATTTAAGGAAGATCTAGTTGTGATTACTATAAGAGTTATTTGTGCATAACCCCTCTTGTCATATTGCACTTTGTGTTAGAAGAAATTTAATGTGGTGGCTGCAGTGAGATAGATTAGAGATATAATAGAGGGTAAAGACAGAAGCGTTGTAGAATGAGGGAGAAGAAAGAGGGATGAGAGAGGAGAAAGAGAGAAGATTATTGAATATTGTCTGATTATTTCCTCTCACAGCTGATACAATTATAGGCTATCAGCCCTTGATTATTGCCTAAACAAAAGCACTAATAAAAATAGAAATGTAAAGCAAATTCCTAAATCCTCCCTAAATCCTGCCTAAGGCTTAGCTGTCCAGATTTCCTCTTGCTGGCTGATTTCAAATCAGACCTTAATTGCACTTTCCAATTTTAGCATCATCAGTTCATGATTGAATGCAATTGTATCTCTGTTACGTCTTGTGTAAACCTTTAGGGGCTGGTTTAATTGTGTAACATTAGGAGAAATAGTTACTTTTGTCTTGGATGAAAAATCTCATGCAATCCTCCCAAGTTTTCCTCTTTTCTACTTGTACACTTTCCACAAATTTGGGTTTTTTTTTGCATATGTACCTCCAAAATCTAATATATTTGCAAATTTATCCCTAAAATCTAGATATTTGCAAACTTACCCTAAAGCAAGCATAATTTATTTTTATATTGTTTTTCAAGGAAATATTTGTGGGCGAACCGAGAACAGTAACTCAACAGTACCTGAAGACGGATATTCTCAAACATGCTATTTTGATTGTGGGATATGGATATTGTGTGACAGAAAAGCTCAACTATTGGATAATAAAGAACTCTCAAGGCACTGATTGGGCAAATGGCGGATTTATGAGAGTTTGCTGAGACTCGAGCCTCCCGGAGGATCATGTGCCTCTCATATCGAGAGCTTCCTACCCTGTACTTCTGGATGAGTGAATGTTATGAGGTTTTGTTTCTCTGGACAAGTAAATAATCTGGAATGCAGAAAGTATTGATAAATATAAACACGAGTATTTGTGGTATCAACATGAAATATAAACATATCTATTATTCATTAGAAAACATGTTAACTTAAAAATACTAACTTCAGTGAGATAAGTTTATATTTCATTATAAGTTTATATTTCATGTTTTCTAATGAATAATAGATATGTCAATTAGTCTTGAAGAAAAAGAAATGAATGCATCATATCATGCTATTCTGTGCAATGGGAAAAAGATATTTTTAAATTTACTATGCTTTTATGTATAAGATTGTCAAGCTAAAATTCAGTCCATAACAATTTCAGCACGCAAAATTTTTAAGTTCATAGTGCAACGTCCAGAATCCTGTAAGACCTGGTATTTCTTTCTCATTTATTTGTATTTTGTAGTACTTTATTTCTGTTATCTTTCCTCAAACTAAAGAATAATTTACCTATGCAACAACTATAGGTTGGCGTTGTTACAATATTGCAGCATTTGTCGGTTCCATTTTTCTTAATATAAACTATGGTTGCAAAGGCTAGTTTTATGTTTAATTGAGAGATCAGAACATATTGCATTAATTAGATGTAGAATGCAGAATGCAGAAAGTATCGATAAATGGCTCCAACTTTCAACTATCTTCTCTTGCTTCTCATTTAGACACATTCTTTTAGTTGAAACTGATAAAGTGTTCAGTGTTCCACATAACATGCAAATGTGTCACATTTTTTGCTGGACATTAATTGAAACCCCTTTACCTTCACTATTGTTCACAATTTATTACCCTAGTTTAGTTTACAATAATATTTACATATTTAGCTCCTACATGGTCTTTCGTTTTATCTTTCTTTGACGCTAGAAGTTCATACGCTTCAATATTATTATTATATCATTATTTCGATCTTATAACAAACGTTTGCTACTTCTTTCATTTTAGCTACCAATGCTAATTGTATTATTGTTGCTAGTGATATCATTTTTGTCATTATTATTAATATTTTTATTGTTGTTGTTGTTGCTGTTGTTGTTGTTGTTGTCAATTTCCTTGGTTTAATTTAAGTCTGTAATCTATATTCTCTAATTGCTTGTTCAAATTGGTTGATAGGGTTCTAATCTCCAGTTCTTAAAGATCACCAACCTTTGTACCAAATTGGGGGGTCCTGACCATGCCTATATTACTTTTGAGGTGAAAAATGGTGATGATGGCGGTGCTAAGGTGTATCAAACTCGGGTTGGTATCTTTCCTGGAAGACACATGATCGAAGAGGTTAGACTGAAAGGAGTAAACTAAAGGTAAATTGTCAAGTAAATTAGTTTTTGTAACAAATGCCTTTATTCACATGTAAAAGGATTACTCTTCTAGTTATGCTGGTGAAAAGCAACCATTGACTTTAAGAATTAGGTCTATGTGGGAAGAAAATTATGACTTAATAGCTAATATTTATCTTTTTGAAAGTTTAATAGAAACCTGTACTTGCATATTTTATCTCTTTCTCTCTTTATATGCATGTATGAATCTGTGCTAGGTTGTTTGTATCAATAGGATGGGAACTAACCTTCCTCTTTACTAATATTATGTATAACTGTAGCTTGTAATTGGGTCACTTATGGAATGATAACCCTCCATTTTGTTCATTTCAAATAAAATACTAATTTCTAGTAGTCCATGGATTGAAGAAAGTATTTAAGGACAATGTTATTATTAAATGCTAAAACCCCAGTGATATTCAGATGAAAGTGCAACATGTATAATGATACAAAATCTCTACAAGTCTAAGATTGTCAAAAACATAAGACCGTAATTATGTAGAGTAAATTCATTAAAATATCATTATTAATGAAAATGTCATCCTGTTCAACATAACTTGTAAATTTTCTGCACCACTGTGTTTATGCACCATATTTCCTTTGAGCAACATAGTCAAGACAAATTTTCAAAAAAAGTGGGTTTGCTTGTAGTACAACAGGGAACATCAACAAAGATTATTACAGTCATTGTAAACAGTTTAAGAATAATAATCTAAATGCATCAAGTTTAAGCAATTCTCTGTTAAGCTGAAGGTCTAGGGTCTTTTGTTCCAAATTAATTTATTTTTAATTGGTTAGGCCAGTTACTACATGAATTGTGAATGAACTCTAGATCCAATTCGCATCTAATGCTTAAAATATGAAGAGAATAATTTTAATGAATATGTTCGTTTATGCTTTATTGCCTTTTATTTTGTTTGAGTTAAACATAATTTTTGATGTTAAGGGTCCTAAATAAGTACTGCTTTTATGTGGTGATATTTTCAAACTTCATTTGGCTTCATATGATGTGAAATATAAATATATATCCATGAATATAGAAAATACATTGTCAGAAGAAATAGCTCTAATCTGACGTTTTCATAAGCTTCTTCTAAACCACTTCCTTATGCCCTTAGCTTAACACTGAAGTCCTAGAAAGTAGAATCTTTTTAGCTCCTGCACAGTCACGGTAAGGCTTGCCTAAGTTGCATGTTTTCTTTGCATCTTCAGACTGTAATGCATGTTTCAATTCAAATGCAAATCAAGTGATAAATAACATGAATAATATAATATTGTTGGCCAAATTAATGAGGTTCATCCGGACAGGCCTATTGTCTGGGCCTTGGGTTTTAGTAGTATGATATGTCAGCAATTGCTTATAAGTGATTTCTTATTATTGCAAATATCTCAGGTTTTTCTTAATACTTTGCACTGAGCTCTTCCTCCGGTTGCGGAGTCAAATCGACTATTGGTGTCTCCAAGTCGTCAGTTGAGTTATCTTCCACTTCTAAATAAAGGAGGGAAGCACGCCCTTTGCAACGGTGACCTGGTGTGAATCGCTCGTCACAGTTAAAACACAACCCTTTTGCTCTTCGATCTTGCTGCTCGGCTGCTGTTAGTCTACGAATAGGGAGTTTATTTGTTGGTTGTGACATGGCAGAAGCTTCAGGCTGTGATTGTGGGTTTGGGCGGGCAACCCAAGGTCTTGGTAATGATCGGGTGTCAGCAAACTGATCTTCGAAAACTCGAGCTAAAGCAAATGCATCATCCAGATCGCGAGGTCGTTGTGCTGTAACTGCACGCTGAATTTTGGGTTGGAGTCCAGAAATAAATGAACTCTTTAGGATATCAGGTGTAAAGCCAGTCACTTTACTAGCCAAAGCCTCAAACTTATTTTGATAGTCGACCACTGAAGCTGATTGTGAAAGCTTCATTAGTTGACCAGCTGGGTCAGTGTATTCTGATGGACCAAATCTCTTATTCAGACCAAAGACGAAAGTGTCCCAATCTGTAAGACGGCCTGCTTGAGCCATGCTTTGGAACCAACAAGAGGCCGGTGTGTCGAGGTGCATGGAGGCTAGGAGTAACTTGTCTTCTTGTGGTGTTGCATAGTACATGAAGTACCGCTGAACGCTAAAAAGCCAATCAGCAGGGTCGCCAGAGGAAAAATGAGGGAATGTCAGACGAAGCTTGCGGTTTGTATGTCTCCGGTTGAGGTTCTGGTGTGCGGAATGTTGAGTGCGGGACTGGGCCAAGAACACTTGATGAAGGTTGATGAGGTGGAGCGGAATTAGCTCGTATTTGCTCGATCATTGTGGCCAAGAAACGTTGTTCCCGTTCTTGCTCACGTTGCTGTGAAAGTTGGTCACGGTTTTCAAAAGCTGTGTTGAAACTGCTAGTAGTCTCTCAAAAGTGTCATCCTCTGTGTTTGTGTTGTGTGTTCTAGTCTGCGGTGCCATTGAGGAGGTTGAGGAAGCAACGAAAGCACCAAATTGTTAGAAGAAATTTAATGTGGTGGCTGCAGTGAGATAGATTAGAGATATAATAGAGGGTAAAGACAGAAGCGTTGTAGAATGAGGGAGAAGAAAGAGGGATGAGAGAGGAGAAAGAGAGAAGATTGTTGAATATTGTCTGATTATTTCCTCTCACAGCTGATACAATTATAGGCTATCAGCCCTTGATTATTGCCTAAACAAAAGCACTAATAAAAATAGAAATGTAAAGCAAATTCCTAAATCCTCCCTAAATCCTGCCTAAGGCTTAGCTGTCCAGATTTCCTCTTGCTGGCTGATTTCAAATCAGACCTTAATTGCACTTTCCAATTTTAGCATCATCAGTTCATGATTGAATGCAATTGTATCTCTGTTACGTCTTGTGTAAACCTTTAGGGGCTGGTTTAATTGTGTAACACTTTGGAACTTACTACCCCTATAGTTTGATTTTGGCAGATAGACCCCTTGGATGAAATTCTTGACTCTTTTTCCCTTAGACTCAATTTCACCTGGGATAATATCTGCCGAAATTTTCCCATGCAAAGGAGTCACGAAAACAAAATCACCCGGCCAAAATCAATTATTGGGGTCATAAGTTCGAATACGCGACACTACAGGACTAATAACCTCCAAAGTATGATGCGACAAGGGGTCTATGCAATCAAACCACCAAACAAAAGAAAATTGAGAAACCAATGCATATCCAATAAAAATAGCATTTACAGTTTTAGAACTAATTTTTCTCTTCTTAGGTTCGGGAATAGCTAACTTAGTCAAGCAACCCCAAACTCGGAAGAAGTTCAGACTAGGAGTTCTCCCCTTCCAATATTCATAAGAAGTTATATTAGAAGTTTTGTGGGGGAATCCTATTTAGAATGAAACAGGTAGAAAGAAGAGCTTCACCCCAGAGATTTGCAGGTGCTCCTAAACTAAGTAAGATAAAGTTCACCATGTCCATAAGGGTTTTGTTCTTTTGTTCAGCTACCCCGTTAGACTGTGGTGTATAGGGAACAATTACCTCATGAATAATTCCATGTTCTTGGCAATATTCAGTCATTTCATTTGAGGTATACTCCCCCACGATTAGATCTTAAAATCTTGATCTTCTTTTCAAGTTTGTTTTCAGATTCGGTTTTATACACCTTAAACCTATCTAAGACTTTATCTTTAGTTTTGAGAAGATAGGTGTAACAATATCTGGAGTGGTCGTCTATAAATGTCACAAAATATCTCCTACCCCTCGGGTGAGAACTCGGTTTGAGTCACACATCACTATGAATTAATTTGAGAGGTTTGGAGTTTCTAGTTATAGACTTTAAAGACTTTTTAGTGTGTTTTCCTTGAACACAAATCTCACACTTAGATGAGGGATCATGAGATGCTTTAGAAATGAGGTTCAATTTAATCATTCTCTGTAAAGTTTGGAAATTGACATGTCCAAGTTGTTCATGTCAAACATCATATGACTCAACAATTTGTGCAACAGAAGACTCAGAAATTTTATTAGAACTGGAATTGATTACATTTAGTTTAAAAATGTCATTACAGATAAAACCTTTTCCTATGAATACATTACTCTTTTTTTACAATCCTATAGCCCGCTCTAAGGAGAAGAGATTCACTAATCAGGTTGCGGCGGAGAGAAGGTACATGATGAACGTCTTACAGACTCAGAGCTTTCTCAGAAGTCTTAGTGAGCTCTATACGTCCACTTCCTATTATTTATTTAGTGGAGTTATCTGCTAAGCTTATGCTTCTTCCACGTGATTCCTGATAAGTTAAAAACCGTTTTTCGGTGAGGTAGGAAACCGAATTCTGTGGGTTGTAAACGTTTTCGATGAACGTTGAAAACCGATTGAGATAGTGGAGTTCTCCTCGAGAGTGGGGAGCGGAGACGTAGGTCGAAAGGACCGAACTCCGAGATCACATCTTGTGTTTGGTTGTCTTTTGTGCACTATCTCATTTGCATAGTTATTCATGTTTACATTACCCATGTTTTAATTACATATCTTTGCCTATAAGTTGTATATCATACTTGTTAGGATATAATTGTTAACGAGTTTTAAATTGGCATTAAATCAGATTAGATTAGCATATTATCCTATTCACCCCCCTCTAGGGTAATTTCACAAATCCCCTATGGAATTACAAATTCTATAATTTTGGCATTTGAACCAAACACCCTCTAAAAGAAAACAAATAGAAGGAACAGAATATAGAAACAGCAAATGACATTTTCTTTCAGCATTTTTCCAATTAGTAGGATGCTCCACAGAACAATAAATGACATTTAAATAAAGGGATATCCACGGTAATGAAGGAAATTTTATACACTATAGCTATGGGATCAGGTATGTGTACGTGTCAGAGTATTGCTCAACCATGAAACATATCCAAAAGATACCAAATTGAACTATGAATATTGAGAATTCGAGATGGATGAGCAATTGTATAAGAACATAATTTCAGGATACCAAATTGAACTATGAATATTGAGAATTCGAGATGGATGAGCAATTGTATAAGAACATAATTTCAGCAAGGATGACATGAGAAGAAACATATAGAATTCGAGATGGATGAGCAATTGTATAAGAACATAATTTCAGCAAGGATGACATGAGAAGAAACATATTTCGTAGGCGGGTTGATGAACAAATAAAGGTGAACAATACAGGATCATAACTGAATGATGCAGAGCCAAATGGGGAAGGAAAAAACTCCAATTGAAGCTTAACACTATGAAAGGCTAGTTCGCTGAGTTCAGAATATCATCCTTAATACAGAAAAATTCATATGAATGACACGAAAGAACTAAAATAGGACATTGTTCATGTTGGTTTTATTGCAGTACATTACATAATTTCATTAGAAGGAAGAAGAAACAACATACTTCCACTAGTATAACAAATCATTTAAAGATAACATCATTATACAGTTTCGATATGAGCATTGGGGAGAGCCAGAAGGACCAAAGAGGATGATAGAAATAGAATTTTGTTCCATGTAGATACTTGTCCTAGCGAACAAGCTAGTAATGAGCGTAAGAACTATAAGTGACTACATATTTTGCTTCGAACTGCTTGCTGTTGCAACCATCTTTCAAGATGAAAATATCAAATTAGCTCAGACATCAAAGAATTAAATTCAAAATTTAACTGTATTTCTCTTTTTGCCAGATAGAATGCCAAATTTCCAACAACAAGAAGACACGACAGCATTTTAAATCATTGTTAAACCAAGTTTGTGATTGACCAATATTTCACTTAGCATACGCCATATCTTTTTACACACGCTCTCTTACATTCTTGTCACATTTTGGAGAAGCACATTTACTCTGAAAACTTTTAATGGGAGTCTCATGCGTACTTCATTTACAACCTAAACTGACTATTGACCAATAATCATGGCAAGGCTGGAAGCTCAACTTTATCGAAAGAAAAAAAACTAACACGCCCATGATCAACAAAGAAGAACTTTAAGGGGATACCATTGTTCTTTCGCTGGAGCTTTTCTACTTCTACTCTTGAGGTTGGGCTATCTCTGCATGTGTAACTCCAAACAAATCAGCCGAAAAGTCAACTACAGAACCAAAATTTCGGGAAATTAGGTAATTGTTCACTCATGCTTCTAGGAGACAACATGAAATTTGAAACCATTAAATTCACCTTTCATACCTCAAAATAGAGAGCACGAAAATAGGTTCACCAGGAGAAGATTTTCTGAAATTGCTGTTAGGCAACTACACATCAAATGCTAGCTTCATTTCCACAATCTGGATATCTATGAATCTCGTAGATATTTCTTCTTTCACTACTTGGTTAAATCTTCCATTTGAGTCCTGTACGTCCTCCAAAGAATTTGAACTACAGCAACTCTTCACAGTCCAAGAGATACCATGGCGACCAACAATATAACCAAGAGACTTTAAGTGCCTGTAAGCCTCAAAGGCCTCCCAAGAACACCCAGCCTTTCCACTTGCAATCTTCTTGTAAATATCATTCATATTAAGAGATGTTTCATTGCCATCAGAGAGTAGTAGTGCCCCTCTTTCAGCAAGAAACCTACAACAAATATAATAAGTTGATTTACTAAAAATTAGAGAGTAGTAGTGCCCCTCTTTCAGCAAGAAACCTACAACAAATATAATAAGTTGATTTACTAAAAATTAAGCAAGTGATGTGAAAATGCACTCAAAACTGGAACTTGGAAATTGGAATTATTAGAACTTGGGTTATTGTATACACCATCATATTGATGAATACAGCTCTATTAAAACAAGAACATTCTAAGGATGAAAAAGACAAAGATTTAACTTCTCACACTGTCACATCCTGGGCCCATAAGCCCATTGGCGCAAAGCAAGAAATGGGACATATTGTAGCGTGTTATTTGGCTCCAACCACAACCAAAATAGACTAGCTGATGCTACACTTGTTGAGTCTTTGGCTTTACCATATAAACAACTCAACGTCTTACTTTCCCACCTATGTGGGACTAAACTCTTGGGAATCACATATACTAATATCAATCAGAATATGCTAATTGTGTCCAGTTGTCAAAAAGAAAAAACCTCATAAAAACAGAGCTAAATGGTGTTATAATATAGCAAGTCAAGATAGACTTTTATCACACTAAATTTTTCATAAACGTTGTATGAATCAACTACGACATAAGACCTGCTGAATTTGTAAAACTATATCTCTACCACAAGCTTTCATACCACCTCAAAAATTAACAACTCCTATGTGTTTAATAAAACCTTCCACCCAAAGCAGGTTTTATTGGCTAACAATGTATAACAACATTAATACCCTTATGGCAAATGAAAAAGCCATTTACATGATGGTATAAATTTTATACAAATAAATGGGTCCGATATGAAAGGTGGAACAAGTAACAGATATGAGGTTTGAACCTAGATCTCCTAACATCTTAAAATATCATAAGCCAATGTCGTTGACATGCTAATAAGATAAAAACATATTACTAAAAATAGGAATGACATATTTGCGACTTTATGCAATATAATATGGAAAAAGAATTATGATTCAGATTGACTATTAAACTTTTTATTAAGTTGATAAAAGTTTAATAACCATTTGACAAAAACATATATCTAGCGAAAAGTGAAAAAAAACAAATATAAATATAGTCATGAAGGAGTTAGCTATGTTTGAAGTGCAACAGGTAAAGGAACCACAGGCTACATATAGAAGGTAGTTTTTTTTAATTATGGGAGGGTGCATACTGACGGGTATAAGAACACAGCCTAGGAAGCAAAGATAAGTTAAAATGAGAAATGAAAAAAATAGTTTGCTTTAGTGGAAGACTATAAAGAACTTATAAAATACTGTGAAAGCACAAATGTAAATTCCTTTGAAATCATGAAGCTTTTGTGAAGTGTATAACATAGGTGTGACTCACAATCCTGTGGTTCCCAACCTCATCCAAGCCTTCATCTCTTATAAATAAGTTGAAAACGAAAGAAAAGATATCAGAACTAATATTACCTGAATTCACTCAAGAATCAAGATCCATAAGTCATGAAAACTGAGTTCTCAAGGAATTACATTAAGAAAATAGCCAATATAACAGGTTGATATTCGTTAAAACGTTAATTCAAAAAAATATTAAAATTCATAAATTGAAATCTAAATGCAAGAAAAAGCTACTATGATGGAAAATTCGATGTCACAAACTGAGAATAAGTCAGCAAAGATATAATGTGTCTAATTCTATTAATACAAAAATATTAACGAGAAACAATCATAATATAATAATACTTCAAACATACAAGATCTCTTCAATGTGGCAATAAAGCTTGTCATTTCTTGTGATCCCTGTAGTCGTCCACAAGCTTCCCTTCTTCTCGAGAATCTCTCCCATCCCTATAACCTCGTCCCATCGAGCTATCGAGACCTCCTTCCTTTAAAAAATTTCAATAAAAAAGAAATGTAAAATACTTCATGGGGGAATTTAATCAAACAGGTTGTGGGCTTTACCTGAATTGGAGTTTGGATGAAGTGGGCTTGGTGGTAATGGAGGATAGAAATGGGTTTTTGTGGTGATCTTCTCCCTCTTCTTTTTGGACTCCTCAGCACTGCTCAGTGTTGATGCTGCCATGATCAGTGAGAAAAGGTGAAATCGGTGGGGGAGTGCAGTTGGATTGTAGTAGTCTTATAAACGACTTGAGATTGAAAATTTCAAATGATGAACTAAAACAGTTATCAAGAGCTAATTAGAAAGAAATTTAAAAAAAGGTACAATGTGTAATCACTTCTCTTAACATTCAAAGTAAGTCTGAAGTATACCCACCAAATGCGCAAGTTATATACCATGCAGTCTCAGCACAAGAGGCGATGGCAGATACTAATCGGAGAGTATTTAATTATTCAAATTATAATTATCTATTCTTGTTAATGGCTAAGATCACACAGTCAATCGTATCCAGAAGAGGACATGTTCGGCCCAGACCGTCACCGGAGTGAGGTAGAGGAGATAGATGAATGAGGAAGACTCATTCCCCAATTTTATGTTTGGTTCTTGAATTGAGGTAATTAATCATGTTGCACAAGAAAAGAACCCATAAGAGGGCGGGGACCGGTTCCCCCGTGATTTTTTTCGACGATCAAGTCAGCTGGTGAACTTGAGTGGTGAAAGTTAAAGAACTCTATGAGCTCTTGTGTGCAAGTATTTTTTGCAGGGGGAAGGTCAAGAACTGTTGTCGTTCTTATGTGTCTAGAGTTCTCTCTTCAGTGG